CATTGGATTAATCAAACATAGGATTGGAGAACATCAAAGAGAATGGGGTTGGCTAAATTAATTTTGAGCCTTATATCCTTTGTTTCTTAAACCACAAACCATGGCCACGTTACAACCTTCAAAAGTCCTAATTAAAGCAAGGTTAACTATTAAAGCATACTCGACAAAATTTGTGTTAAATTGACTCCCATGTTTGTTAAAATTATTGATAACCACTTCGCTTCTTTGAATCTCCATCTCTAATCATCCATTTTTATTCCATAACAAACTTTGATTTCAAAACTTGCATGTGCATCAAAAAAAATTACTTTTCAAAATGTACAATTTTATCTACGAATAGACACTTAGCATCAAGGAGATCTCAAAAATTCGTTTGATAAAAAATGATCCTTTCTAGGAGGCTCCTAACTAGGGGAAAAGCATCTAAGGGAAAACCATATAATCATAAGCAAGACTAATGATCACAAGTATATATCATATGAAGATCCTGTTGATTAGAGGTGATCATTCTAAAACTTAATCAACTTGGGTCACATTTCAAAGCACCATTCAATCAGGGAAATACCTTTCGAAGGGTAATTCCTTAATCAAGTTCATATCACAACATGGTAAGACTCGGTTTCCTCTTTCGACAACTTCTCAAGGCCTTAAAAATCATGGGGAAACCTTCGAGACTCAAATGATAGGGCAGTGCGTATCAAGTTCATCCTACTGCATGTAGAATACAAGTTTTCTGTCAAGCAATTTTAAGTACAAACTTTTAAAAAATTCAAATATTGGGGAAATCTATATCAAGTTCATGGTGAGGTCCAAGTTCTTTGAGGGTACTCCCTCCAGATCCTGGAGATTGGGGGCATATCTTTCAAAATTAAAATGTTGGGGCAAACCACTGTGAGGCTCGATCAAAAGAAGTTGATTTAAAATGGTTCATCAAAGACAAATATCTTCAAGAGTCCATTAGTCAGGGGCATAGTTCAAGATAATGGGCCCATTCATATTATGATCAAACTACTTCCGAGATCATATCAAGGAGAATCCATACCATCGAATCGGGGCAAGACATTCCACAAAGGGGAAAGCTCTCTGTGTACTTTCACAATCCCTGGTGGATCCTTCTCCTATGTCAGCAATCTGCGAGTTCAAAATGAGTATCGAGAAATCATGTTAGAATAACGCTCTACCACCATGTGGCTAGCCGCCTTGTTACATAAGCAACTTCTTTGCACCTTAACCATATATGACCAATCATAAGGGCATCTGTCAAAAGCATATGAGTCTTCTTAAATCATTCATTAGGTTACTTCAATCTAGAATTAGACTATACCTATCATCTCATCCATCTAACGAATTAGGACAGCATGTGTCAGGCATATAACAAACTTGGTCATTCAGTAGCATTTCAAAATTTCTAACATCCATTGATGTGTATCCGAGCCACTCATTACATGCATTGGTCAATCATTCTACGCATTAACACCTGCATCTGCATGCATGCATGACATATCATAGACCAAGACTTAGGATCCCCCGTAAGTCTAGAGTCAATTTCCAGGGGAGTCATTATTCTCAATCCACGTGTAATCTCTAGCTAAGCCAGTAACATCTCTCTGACTATTCCTTCTGGCGAGTCTGTCGTACATGCACTTAAATAAAAATAAGACGTGAACAACCTCACACATTTTTTCATCAGCCATTTAAGACGTGAGTATCCTCATACATTTTCCATTAGCATAAAGACGTGAGCAACCTCACGCGACCTCATCCGTTGTTCATTCATAGGAAGCCCTATGAAGCATGAGCAGCCTCATGTGTTCATTATCCGTTAATACGTAAGAAGCCTTGTGTAAAAGTCGTGAGCAGCCTCACACTTTCCAATCACGTGATCAACATCTTCTGGTTACCTTATCGATATTAACAACCTTGTTGTTCGTTTCACCTTTCCAAGTTGATATTATTCCAGTAACCCTACATATGTTTGTGTAAAGCCCAGTTCATGTCTAGCATATCACCTTAAGCCCGGTTTTTGTATGGCATATCACCTAAACCAATTCTCGTCTGGTAGTGTTTCTATTCCCGTTTGGAAGCTAATTCTTAGCCCTAGTTCTCGGCTAATAACATGCCTTAAGTATTGGTTCTGCAATTCAAACAACATGGGCATTGCATTTATCAATCATCACAATTCATAACATTATCATATCAAGCATACATACCATGCATCATGCATACATCAAGCATAATCATATCAAACATGCATATATGCTTTACATCCAATCATACATGTCCATGAAAACTGTGGAAAATATCAAGGCATTCTTACCAGCTAAGACGCACTCAATTTCAAATCCAAGCTCATCACTATCCATTCTTTGTACTATCACCATAGCCACCTCAGTTGAGAATAAACACAACCGTCAAAGGAACCGCTATCAAAATTTCGCTATGAAGCTTTCATATGATCCATATCCAAAGCCTAGTCATCACCAGCCTTCGGGCGTTATACTTTCAATTACCAAATTCAAACTTTTCAAATTCAAACCTTTTAAACATCCAACTTTATTTGGTTATCATATTATCAAGCCTTGGTTGGAAACAGACACAACCGACATCATCATCGAAACTCTGGTTTCAATCTTCAAACCTAGCATTCTTCATGCTAATCAAGCATTGGTTAAAAATAGACACAACTGACATCATCATCAAAACTCCAATTTCAATCTTCAAACCTATAATTCTTCATGCTAATCGAGTCTCGGTTGAGAACAGGCACAACCGATGTCGTTATTCCGAGTTCCAAATATCCAGTTTCTAACCTGCACCATTTACCCCCTAGGTTGTGGTAAATACAAAAATCTACGATATGGCTTGCTATTTAAGTCTCGAAGCTTTAGTAAGTTATTTTTTCAAAACTTGTACTATCTACCCGCTAGGTTGTGGTAGATGTACAAAGTCTGCGATATAATTCATTGTGTTAGTCTCGAAGCGACAATGAATTATCAAATTTGTGTTATTTATCCCCTAGGTTATGGTAAATATGGAATAAACTGCGATATAACTTGTTGCGTTGGTCTCAAAGCAGCAACACCCGCGTTATTTATCCCCTAGGTTGTGATAAATGTTGCAAATCTATGATATAGCTTACTATGTTAGTCTCGAAGCATTAGTAAGATATTTTAAACTCTTGTTATTTATCCCCTAGGTTGTGATAGATGTGCATAATCTACGATGTAATTTATTGTATTAGTCTTGAAGCGACAATGAATTATCAAACTTGTGATATTTACCCCCTAGATTATGGTAAATTTTGCGATATAGCTTACTATGTTAGTCTCGAAGCGTTAGTAAGTCATTTTTCAAAACTTGTGTTATTTACCCCCTAGCTTGCGGTAAATATGCAATAACTACGATATAACTTGTTGTGTTAGTCTCGAAGCAGCAATAATTTAGCTATTTTCAAATCTGTATCATTTAGTCCCTAGGTTGTAGTAGATATACGAAAATATATGGTATAACTCGTCGTGTTAGTCTCGAAGCAGAAATAAGTTATCTATTTTCTGTGATATAGTTCATTATGTTAGTCTCAAAGCGACAACGAGTTATCAAACTTGTGATATTTATCCCCTAGGTTGTGATAAATAGGCGAAATATACGTTGTAGCTTACTATGTTAGTCTCGAAACGTTAGTAAATTAATTATCAAGCTTGTGGTATTCGCCCTCTAGGTCGTGCTAAATACACAATAACTAGGATTTAACTCGTTGCATCAGTCTCAAAGTGGCGATAACTTATCTATTTTCAAATATGTGTTACTTACCTCCTAGGTTATGATAAATACACGAAAACTAAAGCTACTTTTTCTAGGTGTTGACGAGTTATCCGCGTCGTTATATCTAGGTAACTGTCATACTTCAAATTTGCCCCACCCTTATTTGTATTTTGAGTTCTTTTTAAAATAAATCATATTATATAATTTTTATTTCTATGGGAGGTGTAAAGCATCAGAGAGAGGTGTATCAATTCAAAATGGACCATCAATATCTGATGGCTCATTATGCTCTAATAAAGGTCCATTTTTTAAATTAATAAGGGGGGTGTTTGTTTTAAAGAAGGTGTGGACAAGTTGCTTTTTAATAAGGCCCTTTAAAATTTATTTTTTAGTGTATAAAACAAATTCTTTTTGTTATTAAAGCCCCAATATAAACCAGAAACGAGCCATGTGGAATTCTTTTAGTCCTTTTAATATTGAAGTGAGGAGTATATAGAGAATTTTGTTTTGAGTTAAAAGGTCCAAATAGATTAATACAATGACCCATTTCAATTTTTGAGTTATGTTTTGAAAAATATTTTATTATAATATTATTATTATTATTATTATTATTATTATTATTATTATTATTATTATTATTATTATTATTATTATTATTTTATTATAATAGTTATTAATAATTATACTAATTTTTATATTTTAAACATTACTTTTAAAACTTAATGAGTGTTATTTTATTTTACTAATTAAAAATATTGGTGTTTGTCTAAAAAGAAAAAAAAAAAAAGTTAAACTGCAAGCATCACGCCACAAGTCTCTATTTACAATAGAGACATCCATGATTATCTTCACATCCAAGGCCTACAACACCTTGAGGAGCATTTTACTCAAATAAAAATGTCAACTTGCAAGCCCAAGTTGAAGGTACAGCCCAAATCAACCAGTTTTTTAACATACTGCTGCCTAAAGAATTAAAAACGCGGCCCAATTAAAACAAAAAAACATTATTGTTAAAATCAAATAGTGATAATGCTTGTTTCTTTCCATAAACCGATATTGTACCGATTGTTGTCAAGCCCTGTTTATTGCTCTTGTGAATCGAAAAAACATTAATACAAAGATCAGATCAGAACATAAACAGAAACAATTATTAAGCATTCTTACACAAAATCAGAACAATATCAAAAACTAGTGAAGACATTTACAGATTTGTAAACAATTTCACTCCGATCACGGTGATGGCGAATTTCCTCCGACTCCTTGCGACTACGACAACCACACCGCCCTCCACCATTGAGAAAAAAGAAGGCCGAGATCTGAATAGAAAGAGGAAAGTTGTTTTACTTTTTTTTTCTTCTTTTTTCATATGGAGCATATATGATAATGGTTTTATGTTGCATTTTTTTAGCCTACCACATGTCTTCTAATGAATGGCCATTGGAATTAGTTGAAAATTCAATCCATTTGTTTTTTTGCTTTTCAATTTGTTCTCCTGTCTGCTGAATAAAAATGAGGCGCTACTCATATACTGTTTTTTTATATTGTTTAGAATTTGGGTTAGTAAATTGGTGTGGGCTTAGTCTAAATTAGACACTTTTACTAACCTAACACTCTCATATTTCTATTACACTCTACTTTAATTTTTTATTTATTAGTTTATTTAAGTTAATTATATTTAACATTTAGTTTAATTTATTTAACTATAGTTTTATTTTTATTAGGTTGTTAAATGTTTATTTAGAAAAAATAAATAAATTTTAACATTTTTTAATAGGATGTCCATTTTCGAGTAATTAAATTGGTGACACATCGTCTACTGATTTATTATTTAAAAGCAAATAATTAAAATACATGTAACTCACAAATTACAATATCCGCAAGCGACCGTGGTCAATATTTGGCCACGTGATAAGGGGGCTATATCAGACTCCTCAACTATATGAGACTCCTCAGTTATACAATATTCAAATGATCATTAAACTATTTTTCGCAATAAATTACTTCGAACAATTAATTTTTGAAAAGGAATGCGTATATATTTAAATTAACTGTGTATTTGGTCTAACAAACTCCTCTATTTATACTCTTAGACCACGTATGCGGGGAATTCAAAATATATTTTGCAAATCCATAAAGAGCACAAACTGAACACCGCGAACTACGAAATGGGACTATGATTCTTCCTAAGAGATACGTAGGCATGCAATAAAAAATCGTAGCGAGTTCCGCTAAATAAAATTTCAAACCCTTTTTTCTGCTAAATAAAATTCAAACCCTTTTTCCCCCTAACTAAAATTCAAACCCTTTTCCCAAATAAATAATTTAAACTCTATTTCCTAAACATCGCGCTTCTAAACTTAGTATCCTTACGAACAAGGTAGATAAGGGGTGCCTAACACCTTCCCCCCGTCTAGAACCGATTCCAAATCTAGAATCTCTGAATTTATTTTAGGGTTATTCCTTTATACTCCCTTCTTTTAGGATAAAAATTAAGGGTGGCGACTCCGATTAAAAATCCAGTTGCAATAGTAACATATGTTCATACTCAAGCATTGATGAGTTATATGCATCATCCTTGTCTGTCTACTTTTTGGTTTATCTTACCGTTTAACCTTTTTCAAATCATTTGGTCAAATTTGAGGTCTTCCATTATTTAAGAATCCTCTGATCCAAACTTGCGATAACTACACCCTCTCGCACTCTTCAATCAAATAATAATTAAATAGGAGAAGTTGTCATACCACAAATTTATCCACCCCATTTTTAACATATTCAAATTATTTTTAAACTTGGTTTCATAATTTATTTGCGTATTACTAATATTTGGTTTTAACAATAAAATATTTTATTTATTTAAAATATATAATAATTTACTTTAAATTATTTGTATATTTAAAATAGCAAAATAGTTTCCCACCTTCATATGCTTATATATGCCTTTTTATCTCGAATAGAATGACATAACACAATTGATAATGAATAAAACTTGTAAGTACAAAGTCATACGTTCAAATCTCACTTGTTATATTTGTAACATTTTTTCTTTCATTTGTTACTAACTTTATTCTTTTTTAAAATCACAAAATTGTATTTTTTTTATTATTTTAAGTTCAATTTTCGTTTTTATTTTTAAGGCATTTTTAAAAATAATTATTTATTTGATTTTATGCACTTTTTTTAAATCAAAATTGAGTGCAAAACTTTTAATAAATAGCAAAAATATTTCTTTTTCGGATTAATTGTTTCTTCTTGGTCAATTTGTGTCAATTTGTGTCATACTTAGTTTCTGACAAGTTAGCTTACTGATCAAGAAAAATTTGATTTGTCAATTAATTTTATTTTTTAATTTATTGACCTAACTATCACTATAAATAAGTCATTTTTTCACACTATTAGGACATCAACAATCTTTCACAATTTCACTATGCACTTGCATATCCACGAAAAATCTACGAATTTCACACCTACAATTTTTACAATCATCCACTAGGATTTTGTCTTGAACATAACACCTAAAAATTTCTCACAACCGAGAGGCTAATTTTTAACCCTTACACTACCACTTTCACGGTACTCAAAGGGAATTTTCACACTACTAACAACTTTCCATATTAATATACATTCTATATACACTCACCACCAATTTCTAAGTACAATTTTTTTTCACATTTTTATCACAGGTTTTGTTATAGTAACCTTATCTATTTTCATTCACCATTTACACAAATCAACAATTTTCAGTCATTCTCATTCACGTATCATGACACCACTCTCACAATTTCTATACACAAAACCCTTATTTTAATCATACTTTTGTACATATCCCTACAATTTTAAATCAGCATGCATAAATCCAAGAGCAATGTGCGACTCCATTAAACCTCCACGAGCTCAATACACATACATACCTATTATTTCTATCAAGCTGCAAACAATCCAAACTGCAATTTTTATTCAAAGTTGTACAAAATCATGAACGTATCACCATTGTTTCAATCTACATAAACATGTACAATTTTTTCCAAAGTTAAAATAACAACACAATATCAATATTGGTAAAAAGATTTGTTTTTGTTTTTTGTTTTTACAGGAATGAAAAAGAGAGGAGAAGAAAGTTCCTGAATCAGAATTGAATCCGCAAGTCCATTCGAAACTACCGACTCTAAACCGCAGATCAACAACACCTCTATTGGCCAACCCTACGTTCGTAACCGCTACGTTGATACCTTGCAACCATCATATGCGCATCTCATTCTGGTTCGGATCCGGTTTTTTCTTATTTAGGTTTTATTTATTTATTTGTACTAGAATTATATTGCATCTATTTTTGTTTGTTGTTGATGTATGTAATTGGGAGAGAATAAATTTTTGTTATGAAAAGAGATGCATATGGGTTTTCTCTGTTTGTGAAAAATGGAAGCGGTGATGAGAATAGAGAGAAAGAAAGTATCAATTAGTAGGAAAAAACTTAGGTACACTCAAACATAACACTTGATTTTACAAACAACCAATTACATTTTTTTATTAATTAAAAAATAAAAATTTAATATTCTCTCTCCTTCATAATCACAACCACCCCATGATGTCAATTTAAAAAGAAATTAAATTTTAAATAAATAAAATACTTTTTCTATTCTTATTTGTTGTTTGTAACAATAAAGATTTATGTTCGTATACATGCAAGTTTTTCTCCAATGAGTATAGTGGATTTGTGCTTATTTCTTCCTTTTTATTTGTATATTTTTTGTTTTATTATTTAATTAAAAGTCAAGTGTCAATCTGTCAATTTTGTTGGTAGAAAAGTGAAATATGTTTTTTTTCCTTCTTTTTAATGTTTTAAAAATTTAACAAAAAAAAAGGGCACAATCATGTCGTGAAAATACAGAGGAGGTTACACCCCCACACTCCCTTTTCCTATTTTTTTTCTTTTTGTTTTTATTATTTATTTATTTTATCAAACATATTACTATTTTATTAATGAAATTAACCATCTTATTTTAGTTAATAAAAATATAATAAAAAAACCAAAAAATTATTTTTTATAATTATCTTGTATATGACTTAATCCAAATGCTTTTCACAATATAATAAATTCAAACATGTTACAAATAACAGGATTTATGGATATACATCCATCATATTCTTTTGTTGGCTCAACGCGTTATCAATTAACTGTTCAACATCATAACATTAAATTTTATGTGAACTTGGGTTTTTCTAAAAGCAATAATTAAATGTTATCGCTCAACGCGATAAACAAACCAAGGTCAATTCCTTCGCCTAGAGCGACCAGATTCTAATAAGGATCAAATCCTTATCGACCAAATCAAATTTCTTCGCCTCGAGTGAATTAATTCTGATAAAAATCAAGATTATTTATCAAGACTCAATTGAATCAATTACTTCACATAGAGCAACTTAATTCTGATGAAGACCCGACTCTCTCCGACGATTCAAAATTAATCTAAAACAACTAACCAACAATTTAAACCATTTTTTACTAACATAATAGATAATTTTTAAATAAAGGATTAAGTAACATTTCTTTCAAATAAAAACTATGAATTGCGTCTACGATCACTCTTTTACAAAATCCAGGCAAGGTTAGAGGATAAATTCAAAATCAATTCTATGCAATCCTATAAAAAACACCAACCAAACACTATGAACTACAAAGTTAGACTATGATTCTTCGCAAGTAGATACGTAGACACATTGTTAAAACCAAGGCGAGTCTCTCAACTAAAAAACTAATTATTTTCTCAAACTCATGGAAACAATAACCTTAAATAGAAAATTCTCGATTTACCCCTTAAACCTTAAAAAGGAGACTCTTGAGAACTAGGGAGATGAAGGGTTCCTAACACCTTCCTTTCGTCTAACCAACTCACGAACTTAGAATCTCTGTACGAATTAGGGTTACCCATTATTTCCCCGTCCTTAGGACAAAAGTTAATGGTGGAGACTCTTTATTTTTTGTCAGTTATGAGAGCTGGTGACTTTGTTGGGGACACAACCCTAGGGTTTGGAGTTTTCCCTATCTTTTAGGTCTAAGGTTTCTTGGGTTCTTTCTATGTTTGGTGTCTTGTTTCTATATATGTTTATTTGTTTATTTTATTTATTTATTCATGTTATTCATATTGTCATATTATATATTGTTGGTGTGGGATTTAATCTAAAAAAAATTAAAATTAAACCTTCGAAAGAAGGATTGTCTATTGGCCAAGGGGGTAAAAACCCCTACGAGCTTTTGTGATGACTTCGCCTAGAGTCGGTTGAATTCTAAAGAAGAAATATCTTTTAATGGGCTAGACTCTTTAGGAGGCTGGACTTCGGGATCTGGCCAATGACTCTTTGTATAACCCTAAAACAAAAACTCATGGTGAGACCTTGTACGACCTAAGAGACGGAAATTTCGGCCTACAAT